TAGAAGTGTTGTAGTTCTCATTTTTTTTTTTTGTAATGTCAGCAGACTATTTTTGTAAATACTAAAACTATGGATTTATGCAGACTTGATTCTTGCTTAGAGCATTTGAGCTTCCCAATTTTTAATTTTGTGCTTCTGCTATAATTGCCAAATATTACATTTTTGAAGTTTCAATTTGTCACATTCATGGTTCCTTTTGCTATTCTAATCTTAGTTTTGGGTTTTCCAAGATTTCATTTCCAAGTTTTGGGTTCAATTTCTCACATTCAAGGTTTTGCCTTTTCATGTAATTTTTTGTGATATTCAGTTGCTGTAGCTGGTACACCCACCTCTTAAATTTTAAGGTCCTTTCTAATTTTTGAATGCTAAAAATGTAGTTAGTCACAACAGATCAAGTACATCTATGCGTTTGTAACATTTCTTTAGTGAGGTGGATATATTTGATTTGGATTTATTTGACTTGAATATTTGTTCAACTGCTCTACTGAAGGTGGGTTGCCGGCATCGAGTCTGAGGCTTCATCGGACATAATCAGTTGAGACATTATAAATTGAAATATAATTTATGTTCGTTGTATTTTTCTATATGTTTTCTATTAAAATATTGTGAGGAGTTAATTTATGTTCTATTTTTTCCTTGCAGTTTGGATTGCGGAAAACATTATCGATTAAAAAATGTTTGCTTCTAAATTTGGATGTCACAGTGGTAATGCCTTGTTGAGTTGGTGTTTCGATTGCAACTTCCATGGTAACTTAAATAAGTAGTCTATTTTCATATTTGGGGCTTCCATAGTTGCGGTTATTGATTATAAACACTTGGCTTATGCATTCCATGAAATTCTAAAGAATTTTGTGTTTGTTGATTATGTACATTTTGATTTTGACCAACTTCCTACATTAAGTAAGGTCACTTCCACAGCATAGGTGTTAGAAACTATTGTTGCATAGAACATTAATTGGGGGTGCTATAGCTGACATATATTGTCAACTAAATATCACATTCGTTATTAGCACATAACCAAAACTAGATAATGCCTCATGCATATAGGTCGTAGTAGTATATATGAGGAAGAAAATCAACTTTGATTGATAACAGTATTGTAATTTATTTAAAATTTTATCAGCTGAATCCTTCAGTATTTGTTCTACTAGAACTTAATCGACAGGAGTTTGTATTCTTGATTTGCCTTCCTGATACATAGGTGTGATTTCTTTCCATTGGGTTTCTATGGGGTTTTTTGTTTTTCTTTTTTCGGTATACATAGAAGTGTTTAACCCACTTTTGAGGGGAAATGGAATGGAAACTATCAAAAATTATGTGAGAACCAAATCCAACTGTTGGGCTTAATACATGTCAATAATTTTCTTATCGTACAAACCATATTTCTAACAACATGTACACTAACCTTTTTTATTTGTTCGAACTTATCCTTTGAAAGTATTAAGCTACTTGGAGTTTGAACCTGTAGCTTATAATAAATTCTGATTTAGCTTTCTCTATTGGGTGCTTAAGTGGGTTGGTTGGGTAGGTGAGATGGGTGCAAGGTATGGGTGAAAGCATGCCTGAATCCATCAGAAGATCCTCCTCCTCTTTGGATTCGTCGTGATCAGCCATTATACTTTTCTACCTATAGGAGCTCTCCAAGCACAGGTTTGAAAGTCTAGAATTACCACTACCATGTCATTGAATTGGTTTTCTTCAGCAATAACAGTTTCATTTCCAGCTTAATTTCGACCTTTGATTGTAGTTGCTCAATTCTTGGTACATAGCTCCTAACATATCGGAGTCTCTCCCAACATGTGGATTTATGTCATGGATGTCATTATATTTTTCATATATGGCTATTCATTTAGTGATTGCATCAAGTGCAACATTTTGGTAAATGTTTGAATTATAATATTGCAGTAGTTGATAAGTAGTTGTATTAAAGCAGGACTGTGGTGCAATGGTGTGTCAATCATTGGTTTCAGGCAAATTTTTTAAAAATATTTTGCATCAATTACTAAATTTTATTATGTAAATGATGTACACCGAATGATATTATTCAATGGTTATGTTTTTAGAGGAATTTTATCGATTAGTTTTTTAAACAATGGTGGGTCAACATTGATTGACGATCTTTCTCAATTTTTTTAATTTGTGAATTTTTTTTTTTGTTATGTAGTGCCTTCAGGCATGAGCAATTATTTGTTGTTCTATTGAGTACAAAGATGGAGGCGCATAGTGGCTTGATTTTTGGGTCTGGAATGAGTAAATATATTAACTTATTCTTATTAGTTTAAGTTTAGTGTTAATTCAGTTTATATTTGTATGATAAATAGTGTTAATAGCACTACTAATGTGATGTGATAAGATTATTGATTTAAGTCATGTATATTTATATAAAGATTTGATTCTATAAGTTGTACACACAGGTCGATATTATTCAGGGATAATATTTTCAAAACAAAATTTTAAGAAAATAATAGTTGACACATACCAACTATTGAAATTTTGTTTGTTATAACAGTTATTTGGATCTGAGTGTGTTATAGGTGGAGAATATAGGTGATGTAGAATTATGATATACACCAAGTTGGATGCGGCCTGGGCTATTGTTTTTGTTGTTGTTACATAGTGGCTTCAGGCACGAGCAATTTCTAGTAATATTATAACTGAGATTTTATGTAGTATGTATTGACATGAAATGACTAATTGACTATCTTTATATTACTTTTATATATTTTTGAGTTTGATCTATTTTTATGTAGTGTTTCCTCATACAATACTTTTAATGTTTCACAATTAAAATCAATTGGGTGGTTAATTATCTCTCACCCAATATTCATAAATGCAAAAAAATTTGCTTGAACTTCTGGTCAGTTGCAAACTACCTCCTCCTACTTTGAATTTCTGTACTAAACCTCCCTCAATTTTTGATCAAAGTGCAAAACGAAACTTCCGTCGCAAAAGCTATAAAAATACCAAAATACCCTCATTATTCCATCCAATTTTAGTTGCAATATCTTCCCTTTAGCTCAGACTCCCTCCCTCTCTCCCTCTCCCTTTTCGTCTTTCATCTGTCACCACAATCATCCTCCTCTTTGTCCTTTCCTTTCTCTACATTTGTATGTAAATGAAGGAGGAAAATTAGAGATCTGAATTAGAAAGCTTTAGTCAACACGGTTTCTATTTTTCAACATGGGCCCTCTCTTTTGGAAAACAAAATACACAGAGATTGACCAAAGAATTGATTACAAATGCTGAGAAATATTGACAAGTTTGGGAAAATTTGGAGAAAAGCTATTGCATATTCATTACCAAAAAGGATTTGAAAATAACCAAAAAAAAAGCACCGATTGTGTGGAGGATGGAGATGGGGGAAGAGAGAGGGCCTAAGTTGTGTGACCGAAAATTCTTTCCTCTCTCCCTCTTAGCTCTCTCAGACAGAGTCCTATTTAGGGCTTTTTGAGCATTGATTTGATCTATTATTAAAGAAAATGAGAAGATTTGCGATGGAATTGAAGAGGGTTTGGTGGTGGGGGGTGTCCGCTAAAAAAAAATTGTCTCTTTCTCTCTAGTTCAACGTGGTAATGTTAATAATTGATCTGGAGAGTACTAAGACACATAAATGGTGACATCACAGAATGATATGAGACGATGCATACAAAATGATGAATAAAAAAAGGTTTAAACACTACAAGAAATTTAGATTATATCACAACGTAGCATAATCTAATAGGTCGATACACTTCAGGTCTATGACAATGACTCGGTCCGACCAAATTGATTGGGATGTTTTGGAGTTTATCATGAGTAAAATGAGACTTGTGATTTACATAAAATATAAAATTGTATTAAAATGAAAGTGTCACAAATTGTATATATGATTCGGTCAAACGTATCAGACATAACCGATCCTTTGAACTGTGCTATAATCACCCATCCGTCTAATCTAATTTTCAACAACCCCCACAAGTGAAGAATGGTCAAACGTATCAGACATAACCGATCCTTTGAACTGTGCTATAATCACCCATCCGTCTAATCTAATTTTCAACAACCCCCACAAGTGAAGAATCGTCATTTATAGGGTGTCCATGGGTTAGGTTATGCACGGGTCCCTTTACCCGGCCCGAAGTTCGATAGGTCCGATAGTTGGTCCGCTCAATTCCAAGCCTAATATCCTTAAAAAGAGAGTTTGAGTTTGTCTCCAAACCCATTACCATGCCCAAGAGCTCGTCCGTCGAGCTCACCGGCAAGGCCAGTCCAACCAACCCTTCATTTTTAAAAAAGTTATACTTTTAGACCATTAAATTTGATATTGTGAAATAAGTCTCTCAATATTAAAATTTGAAGTTTTAAAAATTTTAGATATTATAAATAATGTATTATTTTCTTTTCCATCTATTAAGTATATAAGTTTTAAATGATAGAATAATACAAATTACAGATAAGTTAGTAGGTGTCAACCTAGTTAAAATTTATTCATTCTATTAGATGTAGTTCATTATTTTATTTTTATCTATTTTGACTTTACTTTTGATTCAAAAATATAATTTAAACAAATATTAAGTTACAAAAATATTCATTATTTTTAAATAAAATTGTATATAAAAAAGTCCGCAAACAGGCCTGCCCAACAAACCTACCCAATAAACTCACGGGTTGGGCTGCGGATAGCCTACCCCTACCCGAAGCCCGGCCCGACCCGGCCGATAATTCACTTGGATAAGGATTTGGGCCTACACTACCTAGGCCCGGCCCAAAAAAAATTCGTGGGCTGGCCCGGCCTATGGACACCGCCAGTCATTTACATGGAATTACAAGAGATGTTAATTTGTCGGGTAGATTGCAGAAATACACTGATATTTCAAGATGCCTGATTGCCTTCCTCCTTTGCATGATATGGGAACACTAATTTGTACAGATGACAAACTTTCAAAGACTTTGAAATAGCAAACTATTACTCACTTAACAGTGTTGAGCAGTCCATTCAGTGGCAACAACATGGAAATCTGCTAACGAGCCTCCAACAACGTAACAGTCATTTCATTGGCTGAACATGATTCATTGTTGCTTGCTGAGGGATGAGCTTTATTTTGTACTTCTATCAAGAAACCTGGTTGTTTCAGCTGAGGCAATACGCTCTCGCCACTCAACATTAGAACCACCGATAACATGTTCGGTCGATCCTCTGGAAGTTGTTGCACACACAAGAGACCCACATGGATGCATCTGAATATTTCAGGTAAAATGCTCGAGTCCTCGATTAATGTATTGATCAATTCAAGTGCCCTCTCTTCTGTCCACAATCTCCATGCCTAAAACAAATTAAGTTCATTTTGGTTCAACTTTGTACATTATGAACACATTAAAACACACAATCTCAAATACTTACAACTTCGATAAGATTGTAGTGGTGGTTTGAATGATACCCTCTGTTCTTCTTTCTACTTATTATCTCCAGTAATAGAATACCAAAACTGAAGACGTCAAATTTTACTAAAAACATTCATAACTAGCATATTCTGATGTCATATAACCACTGCATTATAGCATCAAAAGTCAAACATGTTAAAGAGATCATAGTATTCTAGAGAACAAAAAATAGGTTCATAGGCAATGAGACATACTATGTCCCAACCACTCTATTAGTATTTCCTTCACTTTGATCTCCAAAAATTTTAGCCATCCTAAAATCTGATATTTTTGAATTCAGTTCATTATCAAGTAACACAATACTGACTTTGAGATCTCTGTGAACAATTCTCAATCTTGAATCTTGATTAAGGTATAGAAGCCTCCGAGCAATTCCGCAGATGATGTGAAAACGATTTGCCCAATTTAACAAATTACCTCTCGTTCTATCTGGTAAAATTTTCATTTACCAAATTAGTTACTTCTCCGACTTCAATTTTCATAACAATAACAAACAATCAGAGGCATTAAATCTATGAAAACAAGAAATGCACCAATCCAATTGAAATTGTTGGTTGAGATTCAAACCGAAAATATAGGTATCCAAGCTTTTGTTGGGCAAGTATTCATAAATCAACATTTTCTGTTCTCCTTGATCACAAAAACCAACAAGCTTTACGAGATTCCGGTGCTGAAGTTTAGCAATTAGTATTACTTCATTTTTAAACTCAGTCAATCGTTGTCCAGAACTCTTTGAGAGCCTCTTCACTGCAATTTCTCGAACATCTAATAAAGTGCCCTGAAAATTACCAATTGCCAAAAAAAAAAAAGATTCTTGAATAAAGTAGTGTTTTTTAGTATCTTGGTCATTAGCATATTACAAACTTACCTTAAAAACAGGCCCAAAATCACCTTGGCCAAGCTTGTTGTTTATTGAAAAGTTATCAGTAGCAATGGATATTACAGCGAAATCAAATGATGGTAAATCCAAGTCTTCATTCGAGCTTTCTTCACTCTGACCGTTTTCTGTTGTAGTATTGGAGTTAAACCACATTTAAAAAAATGGATCTCCTTTCTTAAAAGCTTAAAAATTAAGAAATATATAATCAAGGGTCAATGCTACAATTAGTCCTTAAACCTTTCCTCTTCTTTTTAAAATGTCTCTTAACTTTCAATTGTCTTAATTAAGTCCTTCAACTATTAATTTTGGGTCAATAAAATCTTTTCGTCTAATTCAACTCTTGGAATAAATGGAGGCAAACCCATGTGTTGAGGGACAAAATTGAAATAATTTATCAACATGAAATTGATGCTTAAGGGACGAAATTGAGATAATTTAAAGTTTAGGGACCATTTTAAAAAAAGAGATAAAATTTAATAACTAATTATGATATTTACCCTATAATCCAATAATGTTCTTCCAAAAAAGATATGATTAAGAAATGTAGAGAACTTGAGGAGCTTTACTTACATGTTAATTTAGAACTAAATATTTTATAAAATCTAATAAGCAGTGACTTTAGGAGAGAATGGAATAAGAGGGAGATTACCGAATTCTCACAAGGATTAGGAATTCTCACATTAAAATTCAATTCTAATCAAAATAATGGAATTACATCTTTATTTATAGACCAAGTGTCCTATCAAACTAACTACTCTAATACTAAACCTCTATCAGTTTATCTCTAGTAGTCTTAATCTAATAGATACCATCTAACTAAAAATTCAAATAATAAAATAACAAATAATAACAAATAAAAGTCCTAACAAATCTACTAGGTGCAAATCCAATCATGTCGATTCAACCATTCAATGGTTGCACCATCATGTAGTTTATCGGATATTAAATTTCCTATCTTAAAACATTATGGTCATATATATATATATATATTATATTATTTAAAGGGCAGAAGATGACCTGATAAAGTAGATTGAAATAAGAATATAAGAAAACTTTTCACATGTCACATTCTTGAAAAGTAAATTTATGGTACCATTGTTGGGATTTCATTTTTGTACCGATTTATTGTGAAATGCAAACTAATAGTTTAAGATGCAATATGCAAATACTTGATAGTTTAATGGGTAATGTAAAATTAGGGGCATAGTTCAAGGGTTCTCAGTGTAGTTTGCACACTTATTTTCCACCAATGCAAGTTTTTTACATTGCAATCATAATAGCTTTTTGCACTGCAATCATAATTGTTGCTCTGTTCAGATAAAAAAACTGTAAAATAGAGTTATTCATCTTTTCTTAGATGGTTATAAGAATAATCCACAAAATAACTCCATTACAAGTTCTGTGGGAATGAGCATCTGAGTACTTTAAGATTTTACCTTGTGTTCTTGTCCTGCCCTTCCAAATGTAATAGATGAGAATAAGTATCCCAGAAATTCCTGCAGTGGTGGCTACAATTATGACCCATTTTGTACCATCTTTTTTTTCTCCAGGATCCGCTTTCCCTTTAGCCCCATTGTTTGCCCCTTGTAGAAGCAAACAATTACATTTATGTTGGACAAAATGGGCAAATAATCTATAGAATTCAGTAAAATGCGCTTCAAGCAGCAGCTAAAGAAAAAGAAAGACACCTAAGATTGAAGCCGGCATTCTTATGTACAAAACATCTCCGCCACTGGCGAACTGTCTAATATCCATCAGATCATCAAACCAGATTGCACAACCACTGCCATTTCCTCTAATATCAGAGTTTGTGTAAGCCATGCAAGTGCAATTCTTTAAGCACTTGTCCCTGCATTCACTAAGGTTTAAACTTTTGTTCACCCAACAATTAGTAGTATCTGGCAATTTCACGCCTTCAAATTTATCAAAGCCTTCCGTACTTTGGCAGCTCAGAGGCTTATCGCGTGTGCATCCTCCATGTGACCACTCCATCAATTTCCATCTTTCCAGTGATTTTGGCTTGAATCCATTCTTACACCGGCAAACAGGTGAGCCAGCAATGTTCCATATTCCGTTGGCACCACAAAGACCATAATTGTCACAATAGTCTAGTGGCGCTGAGAAATATGGCTTCCAAATCTGCTCAGATTCAATCCAAACAGAGCGCTCTAGCACAGAGGTGGTTTGGTTCAAAACAAGCCTTGTGATTACAGATCCATTATTGAACTGATATGTGTAGTACACCTCCTCCTCATTAGAGGTAAAGGTGAATGTATACAAGGGATTGGGCTTTAAGTTAGAAATACCACTTATATTGAAGGCCATTCTAGGGGCCACTTCTACTGTATATTTTTGAGCTCTTCCACATAATTATCTCATGAAGTTCTATGCCACAAGTTAGCTCTCCAGGTGAAGGGACTTCGGAATTCTTCCATGAAGATAGCCGTCTGTTCAGACCAACCCTTAAGTCCCATCCAAGCTTCATACCTGGTAACAACGTATCAGATGGGTAATCAAAGCTCTGTCACAAATAAAGAGTAATATTATTTAGACATAAAAATCTAACTTAATTTGCTGATATAATGATGTGGTTTCAGCAGAACCATTGGATCAACACTAAATTTTAATATGTAATGGCCCCACAGTCAATCCAAAGATCATAATGAATTAGGTCAGCAAATTAGGTCTCGATAACATTGCTCACAAATAAATGTCTGAATTGCTTTCTCTCTCTTCTCTAATGATAAGATTTCCAGAATCTAATAGCTGTGCCAGTGGATTCTGGACTTGTTTTCGCGAATTTGATGACCAAACAATACCATCCTTCTGACTGACAAGAACTAGATTGCCTGTATTGTTGACCGTCAATGTGCCCGATAAATCTTTGATTGGAATTTTTCTGTTGGCAACCCAAATGACAGTTGTAACTGGGATATTCTTGTACCAAATTCCCAAGTACCTGTTCTTGGAACTGCCCAGACTGAAAAAACCCAGTTCAAAGTTTCCACCTTTTGAAATTAAGGTCTTGCCATCACTAAGAGAGAGGTTTGGAGTGATTGTATCAGCTGAAACAGAGATAATCCACAACAAACAAGACGAGCAAACATAAAAAAGCATAGAGAAAAGACGGCTCATTGTTCTGTAATGTCCCATACCTTTGATATTTGGCATAAATCTAAAAGAAAAATGCTATATTATGGAGTCATTTGCAGACATGAACCTTTTTTTTTGCCTTTCTTTGGTCAATGCAGACAAGAACTAGAAAATTGGACTTCTACACATTACACAAGTCTTCCACTATGAGAGGGAACCACACAAGCAGAACTTGGACTTTTCAGCGTCAAGGCCAGATAGACCCATAAGTGAGCGAGGCAGTCGCCTAGGGCAGTCACTCGCCTAGAATCCCACTTATATGTTTTGTTAAACTTTCTAATTATCATGAAAAAGAGTTTGTTGAATAATCAATGTGATAATTCTGAATAGGATATGAAACGTACCAGAAGAGTTATAATAAATCGTTAATAGGTTTATCACTGACCTAATACGAAACAGAGAAATTTAACAGTATTTAAATTGTATTGGGTTATAGTATTTTATCCCTATAAATACGATTGAATATTATGTAATCAATTAAGAAACGATCAATTTTCTAGTGAATAATACATCGATGTAGGTTTTTGGTTTATGAGGGTAGTTATGGTGTACCATTGTGTGTATTCTATATCGAATCACGATATATTTTTATATCATGTTTTTATTTTTTTTTCTTATCTTAAATTTCTATCTTCTAATTTACGATATAAGTGTTAATTATCCGTTGTGCAAAACTAACATGTTTTCCCTTTTTTTTTTTTTTTTTTTCACGAAGGTCTATTAATTGTGTCACCTTGATAATGTTAGAAAAAGATTATTACTTTGTTACAACAAGAAGTTTTGTTTATTTTATGATTACAAAAGTTTATTTCCTCTCTTTGATCTTAATGTATTCATTTGCATAGTATTTATTTTGCTTGCAAGTAGTTTTTCCTCTTAAAGGCATGAATCAAGAGGAAATTCAAAACAAAAAATAAATAAATAAACTTTACTTAAAAAATTAGGGCCCCATTAAATTTTTGCATTAGGCCTTAAATATTATTGACGGGACATGTTCACCGTTTTGCCTCAAAGTTACTATCCCAAATTTATTTTTGCAAGATGAAAACTCAGATTATCAGTCCCCGTGAGCCCCAACGGATTATTCGCTTGCGAGGTCTAAATTGCGGCTTTATTTTTCAGGCCTCGACTATAAGAATGTACGGTCTTGATCAACACATGTTTTCAACAAGAGGAGGAGGAGGAGGAGCCAATCTGGGACCCAGACAGTTTTCGCATGAAAACCAAACACTGAGGTGACTAAATGGTTTGGAAATTAACAACTTTCGCATGAAAACCGAACACCGAGGTGACTAAATGGTTTGGAAATTAACAGCTTTTGCATGAAAACCGAACACTGAGGTGACTAAATGGTTTGGAAATTAAAAGCTTTCGCATGAAAACCGAACACTGAGGTGACTAAATGGTTTGGAAATTAAGAACACGTACAAATTTGCCACCAAGACTTCAGCACCCATTCTTTAATGGTTGGCGCATGAATTTTTCAATGGATCTTTCAAGGAAGAAAATGGACAGAGACTCATGGATGATGGAAGACTTTGAGAAAATATTTTGCTGGATGAAATTAATGGCAATGAATCAATCAGTGTTGTGTTAATTCGTATCATATTTCTGTTATGTTATTTCAAAATTTATTTAACTCATAATAGACCTAGTTATAATTTTATATATTTGAATTCTTATTGCTTCGTACCTAACTCATATTCGACGAGTTTAATGGACCGTCACTAAAATCAAATTCAAATCTACTAATTCAACATTGATACTTGATATAGAACGGATAACAGCACAGTACTTAGATCGGTGGGGTCGATATTAGGGTGATTCAAGTTGGTCAAATGGGTTCACTTTTTTGGGGCACTCATAGTTTTAGAACTCTGTCCAGACATCTACTTGGTAAAAAGATTGGGTTAATGGGTTATTGATGGGTCGAACGATTATATAATACAAAAATATAAAAATATTTTTATTAATTATAAATATGCTAAAAAAATCATAATAAGAATTAAAATAGTAGAGTTAATCCACAGGAAATCAATCAAGAATTAAAATATTATCAAACATGTAACTAATGTACCAAATTGAATGCTCAAGACTCATCAACTACAACAAACACAAATGAAAAATATAGCAAAACTGATGGAACAGAAAAACAGAGATATAGGAAAGAGATAAGTGAATCTAACAAATAAGAAGGATGTGCCTTCTGAACAACAAAAAAATCGAAGTTGAAGGATGGAACAATAACAAAAAAAAGCTAAAAATATGCAAATTTTTCACTCAAATAAGTTCAATATTCACAAAATAATTAAATAAAAATTGGCAAATAGAAGCTACAATCACTTGTGTGAGAGAAAGAGAAAGAGAGAAATGAGTGAGAAAGTACCCGTCAAGTGAAGGAGAACGTATTGCCTTCGTTCGACACTTCGACTGAGAGAGAGGGGGCTGATTTGTTCGACACTTCGACTGATAGAGGCTGATTCATTCGACTGAGAGAGAGGCTGATTCGTTCAAGTTCGACTGAGAGGGAGAGGTTAACTCATTCGCCGGAGAGAGAGAGAGAAAGACGAGCGGGAGAAGATTACTCTGAGGGCAAAAAAACAAAGCCTTGTTTTTATAGTTTTTAATTTACCCGACCGGTTTTTTAAGAACCGTCCCATTTGGCGGTTTTCGGCAAGAAACGCCCCGTTCAATGAGTTTTTACCAGGTTTTGTGTTCAAACGATCAAATATACTATCTAGCCCGGCTTAGTGACCGGTTCACCAATTTTTTGGATCAACCCGTCTGACTGGGTCAGATTTTAAAACCCTGTCCATGTCTAGTCAGAAACAGGGCTGTCAAAATTTGACACAACACGATTAATCGACACAAATTAAATGAGTTTGGGTGAGATCTTAACGGATTTTGGTGATAAACGGGTTGACACGCCAACCACATTTAATAAATGGATCGTGTTCGAGTGAGACTTGTCAAACCGTTTATCACACGTTTATCCGTTTAAATAAAATTAATATAATAATAAATTAATAATTTTTTAAAAAAATTAGCAAGAAAAAAAAAGTAAGAAAATCAATAAAAAATAATAATAATAAAGTATGAGTTTAAAGATAAAGGAGAAGAGTTAGAAAACACTTCAAAGGTAAAGACAAAAACAAATAAATGTCTTTTGCTTTTGTCTCACATTGAAAAATGAGGGGAGATGGAGAGGGTTGAGTTGCCTATAAAAGACAATGACCTCTTACTTTTATTTTTAAAACCTTCAAGCTTATTTTTCAAAAACAAAGGAAAGGAGTTGTAGAGCACTTGAAAGACAAAGGCAAACCAATGTCTTTTGTTTTTGTCCCATATTAGAAAATGAGGAGAGATGGGGAGGGTGAGTTGCCTATATAAAATGCAATAGCATCTTGCTTTTTTTTAAAAAAACCTTCAAGTCTTATTTTTATGAGATTTGATTTAAAATTCCTCTTTTTTGAGATAAGTGCAATTAGTAGTAAAAAAATGAAATATTAAAATTTGTTGATATAATTTTTTTAAATTAAACTAGTTAAATGAGTCGTGTCATGTTACCCGTTTATTAAACGAGTCGTGTTCGTGTTGAGATTTTTTACCCGTTTATTAAACGTGTCGTGTATGGGTTTATACGTTTTTACCTGTCACCTATTTAACCCGACGCGTAACCGTTTAACCCAACACGATTGACACCCCTAGTCAGAAACGACCGCGTCTGCCCCGAGGGATGATCTTCTGGCACTCTAGGCCGATTTTTGGACAAATTTCTTTGTTTAGAGTGTGAAAAACTTGTTTTATCATTTTTTGTAATTAAATAATTTCACCATCTGAAGTCAAAATTGATCACTGTTTCTACCTTGATCTCGGTGATTAGTAGTTTTTAGTTGTATAATTAGGTTGCAACTTTATTTTTTGGCAAAATCTGTAATAATTAAAAATAATTAAGCCACATTTTATTATTTTTTAGTTAATTTTAGGGTTTTTTGTACCATTTATACTCTTGTAAGTTTTAGGGCTTAACATCTTTTGATCATGGGCTTGCCGGAAAGATTTTAAAATTTTTACTTGTCACCCTTAAAGATTTCAAAATTCTCACTTTACATTATTAAAGATTAAATTTTTTACATTACACCTTCAATCTATCATAAGTAATGTAATGTGATTTTTTTATTAATTTCTGTTATTTTTTTTGTCAAAAGTGAACTCATTGACACTGCTGTAAAAAACTAATGGAAAATTAATAGAAATGTCATATTGTAACACTTTTGATATATTGAGGGTATAAAGTAAGAATCTTAAAATCTTGTAGAGTATAAAATTTAACTTTTCTTTTGATTATTAAATACATTTGAGAGAGATTTATTTTTTCCTTCCAATTTTTTTAGTATTCTTTAGAATCAACATCTTTATTGAAATATTTATGACTAGTATTCTTTGTAGGATCTTAAACCAATATTTGTGTATAAATCACCGATTTAGTTTTATTATCCCTTCTTATATTTTAGATTTTTGTTTTTACACTTTTTTTCTTCATCAATACTTGACCAAATTTCAAGAAACTTGGTAGGAATTTTGAGCGGGTAAGTTGGTCCTAAATCATGTCCTCCTTAGGCATATATCATTAAGGTTGTCCCGTAGGTCCCTCAAATGAACGGATAAATTTAGAAATCCCAAAAATAATTTTTAAAATTGCTTACAAATTTTTGGGGGTCCCAATTTTAACTAGATCAAGCAATGTAAAATATGATTTACAAATCCAAGAAGAAATGCACATGGTGCATGTGGTTTAACAACAGGTGTTCTACTTAGACTATTCAAATAAAAAAGCGGACTCGGACATCGCAGAACACAACACAAACTCGCTAATCATGTCTTACATATGCTACAAATATATAATATTATAAATGAGATTGTATGCAATAAGTATTGATATGACAAGATTAAATGACTATCCTTATATTACTTTTAATTTTTTTGAGTTTGGCCTATTTTTATGCATTGTTTCCTCACATAATACTTTTAAGGAAAAATTACACCTAAATTTTATGAAGTTTATCATTTAATCATTTAAACTCCTTAATATTTAAAATATTACATACAAATCCTCTAAATTTTATACACGCATAATATTTATACACTTGCCGTCAATGTCTGTTAGAAAATTACAATCAGACCCCTAAAAGTTTGTAGGGATGTAATATTTAGATCCCTTAAATTTAAAATATTACACTTAAACCAAAATACTCTAATCAAAGATAGAATATTAAATATTTTATGTTTTACAACCAAAATTTATATTCTATTATATCATTTATTGAAATAAAAATTCATTTTTTCTTTAAAAAATCATAATTATTATACAATTATATTATCTATTAGAATAAAACTAAAAAAAAAAAACAATGGTTCAAACTATAATGGATATAATATCTTCTATCTTTAATTGAGGTAATTTAGTCATTTAATAGATTTCATAAGTTCTGTAACTAATAAGGGGTCTAAGTGTAATATTTTAAATTTGAGTGGTCTAAGTGTTATATACTTGTAAACATTAAAGGGTCTAAATATAATTTATTAACAAATATCCTAACGGATATTGACGGCAGAGGATATAAGTGATTTGCGCGTATAAATTTTAATGAGCTTGTATATAATATTTCAAATATTAAGGGGTCAAAGTAATTAAGTGACAAACTTTAAGAGACCAGAATATAATTCCCCATACTTTTAATATATCACACTTAAAATCAATTGGGTGGTTAATTATCTCTCACCCAATATTCATAAATGCAAAAAAAAACTTGCTTGAACTTTTGGTCAGTTGAAAACGACCTCCTCCTACTTTGAACTTTTGTACTAAACTTCCCTCAATTTTTGATCAAAGGGCAAAACTAAACTTCCGTCTCAAAAGCTATAAAAATACCAAAATACCCTCATTATTCCATCCAATTTTAGTTGCGATATCCTCCCTTTAGCTCCCACTCTCTCCCTCTTTCTCTCCCTCTCCCTTTTCGTCTTTCATCTGTCACCACAATCCTCCTCCTCTTTGTCCTCTCCTTTCTCTTCATTTGTATGTAAATGAAGCAGGAAAATTAGAGATCTCAATTAGAAAGCACTGATTGTGTAGAGGATAGAGATGGGGGAAGAGAGAGGGCCTAAGTTGTGTGGCCGAAAATTCTTTCCTCTATCTCCCTCTTAACTCTCTTAGACAGAGTCTTATTTAGGGCTTTTTGAGCATTGATTTGATCTTTTCTCCCTTCACTTCATTAGCAGATTGTTCATATGTCAATATCTTGATTTTGGGTAGCTACTTTCACAATTTTTAGAAGAAAATGAGGAGATTTGTGATGAAATTGAGGAGGGTTTGGTGGTGGTGGGTGACGCTAAAAATTTTTTTCTCTTCTCTCTAGGTCAATGTGGTAATGTTAATAATTGATTTGGAGAGTACTGATACACATAAAATGGTATTGGACTGAAAGTTCCACAAATTAGATACGACTCGGTCGAACATATCGGACTCGAATAGATGACTAACTTTCAAAGACTCTGAAATAGCAAACTATTACTCATTTAACGGTGCTGATTAGTCCATTTTGCTAACGAGCCTCCAACAATGAAACAATCATCTCATTGGCTGAACAAGATTCATTCTTGCTTGATGAGGGATGAGCTTCATTCTGTACTTCTATCAAAAAACTTGGTTGCTTCAGTCGAGGCAATACGCTCTCGCTGGTCAACATTAGAACCACTGATGACATGTTCGGTCGATACTCTGGAAGTTGTTGCACACACAAGAGATCCGCTTGGATGCATCTAAATATTTCAGGTAAAATGCACGAGTCCTCCACCAATGTATCGATCAGTTCGAGTGCCCTCTCTTCTGTCCACAATCTCCATGCCTAAAACAAATTAAGCTCATTTTTGGGTCAATATTGTACATTTTGAACGCATGAAAATACCATAATCACAACACTAACAAGTTCAATTAAACTGTGACAGTGGTTTGAATGATACCATATGTTCTTCTTCCCACTTATTAACTCCGAAAATAGAACACGAAAACTGAAGACGTCAAATTTTACTGAAAACAACTCATAAAAAGTATATTACTATGTCCCAACCACTCTATTTGTATTTCATTCATTCTGTTCTTCAAAAATTCTAGTCATCCCAAAGTCTGATATTTTCGGATTCAACTCATTATCAAGTAATACATTACTTGTTTTGAGATCTCTGTGTATAATTCTAAGCCTTGAATCTTGATGAAGGTAGAAAAGCCCCCCGAGCAATTCCACAGATGATGTAAAAATATTTTGACTAATTTAACAATTTACCTCTTGTTCTATCTGGTAAATTTTCTATTTATCAAATTAGTCTCTTACCCAACTTCAATTCTCATAACAACCATTAAACGTATGAAAGCAAGAAATACACTAATCCAATTGAAGTTGTTAGTTTTTTCAGATTCAAACCAAAAATATAGGTGTCCAAGCTTTTGTTGGACAAGTATTCATAAATCAACATTTTCTCTTCTCCTTGATTGCAACAACCAAGAAGCTTTACAAGATTTCGATGCTGAAGTACTATTACTCAAATGCCAAGAGGTTGCTGGGCTATTAAACCAAAATTGAGGTGGGTCTCAATGCTATTTATCCCAAAGTTAATTATAACCTCTTCCACAATCATTTAGGTTCCAACTTTTTTTCTGTATTGTTACATGTGTTCAAGCTTACGTCGACTACTCTTTCGAACTCAACGACTAACCATCATGATTTAAGCTGAGATAAAGCATGTCTCTAAAGGAAAAAAAAATTTAGCCCTAAGGGGTGGTATAAGAAAAGATTGAACTTGAGATATTTAGGTTACCAAAAGCCAAGTTTAACTACTGAACCACTCTTAGGAGTTAAGTACCAACTTATATGTAAGCAAATTAGCCAAAATTCCATACTCTTGCACCCGATATTGGAACTACCGATCAAATATTTTGTTTGTCTAAAGGTACAACTTGGCCAAATCAACCTGGGTACAATTCAAAATATTTTGACTAAGATTTCGAATACCTGGATAGGATTTGGACACAAACTTTTTTACTATGTAACACGAAATCATCATCGAAGACCTCTTCCTTTGTGTATTGCTTGATGTGTGATCGCTTTCTTGTTGCATCCAATAAAACTGCTTCTGGGGCCAATTTAGATCCCTTCATTGTTTCCTTTTACTTCCACACCTTTTTCCCGAAATGAAAAAGAAGATGGTACACTAGAATTGTATTATTGAAGTGCTTGAACAACAGTAAAATTGGGGTCACTGGTTTCCGGAACCCAACTCCATCTGAAAGCCCAAGTATTATAACCCTAGAATCAAATCCAATTTTAACCTGACTTGAAAGACTAGGCAGATGAAAATGGCCGATTGTTTTTGTGCCTTTGGCCACCAAATGAATCAGCTGACGAGAAACAAACACAGTATCATGGTGGATAAACAGATGATGTTAAAGGAAGGCATAATATGACACAACAATGTAGAGGACATAGCCTATCGAGCTTCTAGTATAGTTATAGTTTCTATAAACAGATGATGTTAAAGGAAGGTATAATATGACACAACAATGTAGAGGACTTAGCCTATCGAGCTTCTAGTATAGTTATAGTTTCTATATCATCTGTTCCAACTTCTGTACTTCTTGATGCTGAATCCATGTCAATGGGACTTCTTTCAGAGAAAAAACCAGGTAGTTTAGGTTTCGCCAACATTGATCCCTCGTTTCCCATCATCAAAATTATAGATGACATAGCTGGTCTGTCTTGTGGAAGTTGTTGAACGCACAGCAGACCCACATGGATACACCTCTGCACTTGATATTCGATAAACGAGTTCCTCAAGCATGAATCCATTAGTTCCAAAGCCCTGTCTTGATTCCAGAGCAACCATGCCTAAACACAATTGCATTAGTGCAGTGAATACAGTTTGCTGTCTTGGGAGGGAGTGGTTGAATTTAGCTGTAGTACTTACATGGCCCAGAAGGTTGTGGTGGTGATCGGGATGATGAAAGCCTCTGTTCCTTTTGCCACTTACTATCTCTAACATAAGCACGCCTAGGCTGAAGATATCGGACTTTGCAGAGAATTTTCCATCAATTGCATACTCTGGAGACATATAGCCACTGTTTTGAACTTATTAACCATAAGCTCTTCTACATTATAAACATGATATTTCAGTTTAAGTGAGTAAAACTTACTATGTACCAACGACTCTTTTTGTTTTTGCAAAAATTTGATCCCCTCCGAAAATCCTAGCTAAGCCAAAATCGGAAATTTTGGGAATGAGATCCCTGTCTAGTAGTATATTGCTTGCTTTGAGATCCCTGTGAATAATTCTCAATCTTGAATCTTGGTGAAGATAGAGAAGTCCTCGTGCAATCCCCATAACTATGTCAAAACGCTTTGGCCAAGACAACGATGCACTTCTACTTCTATCTGCACAAATCGACCATTTTTAAGTATCAAGATCAGAGCTTTTCACATTAAAATCAACTGGATGGCTTTGTTCAGATGTTTAATCAGCAAGCATGTAGCTAAGCATTATTTTGGCTATGGGACTAATCAGAGAGAGAGGATTCTGAGGCTCAAACCAAATATGAAGTAATCCAAGCTTTTGTTGTGCAAGTACTCATAGATTAACATCCTTTCTTCTCCTTGAATGCAACATCCCAGAATCCTGACTAGATTTATATGTTGGAGTTTGGCTATCGAAACAACTTCATTTTTAAATTCTGCAAGACCTTGCCCTGAATCGTTTGATAATCTTTTTACTGCTATTTCTTGTTCGGGTTGTAATTGGCCCTGTATGTGTCACATATAAGGTACAAAATCTTAATTGACAACATTTTGCTTACTGATGGACTGAAAATGTCCAGATAAAGAAAAAAAGGAACATATCCAATGTTACCTTGTAAACTGGACCAAAGCCACCTCGCCCGATCAGATTTTCCTGAGAGAAGTTATTTGTTGCAGCAGCAATAGTCGCCAAACGAAATAGAGGTAATTCTACTTCTTCATTCTTCCTTTTCTGAGCTGATAATTGGATTAAGAATTTGAAAAAGGCCTCCATACATGATTTAATATTGTAACACTTGGGCACGATATTATAACTTATTTTCAAAGATCGTAAACAAATCAGCATTCTTACCTCTTCTCTTTGTCATTAATTTCACAACTATGCACCCGCACACCACAGACAAGATAAGTACTCCTGAAATGGCCAATACCACTAGGATCTTCACAAGTCTTTTATTCTTCTCCTTTGAACGACTGATGTGTTCTACAAATAGTGAATTTGACAAATATTGTTATTTGCTTCAAAATGGCATGCTTCTCTATTATTTGTTCGCTCGTGATAACTTAGGATTTCAATTCGAACAATCAAAGATGTAAGACAGTAAATTAAAGCTAAGGAGCGTCCCAAGGGGAGGCACATACCTAATTCTGAAGCTGGCAAGCGCAAATAGATATCTTGCTCACTCCCTTCTGCAACAAACTCCCGGATGTCCACCAGATTTCCAAACCACATCAAACAGCCAGTGCCGCCTCCTGTGACATACGGATTTGCATAAGCAGAACAAGAACAGTTTTTCAAACACTCTGCCTTGCATTCAATGAGGCTCATACTAGTGTTTAGCTGGAACTCCAACAAGTCAGGCAACTTGACTGATGGAACCTGCACAAATCCTTCTCCACTATGGCAATCTAATGGCACCTTTCTTACACATCCACTGGACCATACAAGCACTTCCCATTCTACTTGAGATTTGGGTGTGAATCCCTTCAGACATTCGCACATTGGGGTTTTGTTTAATTTGCAGATACCATTAGGACCACATTGCCCATAATTGTCGCATGGTTCGCCTGGTGTTGTGTAAACTAGAGTCCAGCTAGTGCCCTTTTCGTCCATTACAAAGAGGTCAAGCAAGCCTGATTGCTCCATCTTTAATCTCGTAGCAATTGAGTCGTTGTAAGTCTCAGAGATAGAAGTCAATCTACTCCCACTGAACTCCAATTTATAGTTAAAAGTAGGACTTGAAATCATAGGGTGACCACTGAAACGAATTCCATTCCATGGTCCACTACGATACTTTTTCACTGACCCCATCATAGTAACCATTTGAGGCAACCCACGGTTATCGATTTTGTAGTTGAAGTCTCCAGGGGATGGATCCTCTGCACTTCTCCATGATGACAAATATTGGTCTATTCCAGGGTCGAAATTATCCCGCAACTTCATGCCTGGTAACCGTGTGTCAGTTGGGAAATCAAAGCTCTGCCACATATAGCTTTCAGAACTCATGATTACCTTGTCTATAACAACAAGGTTTCCGGTATCCAGGAGCTGTGCGACGGGACTTGCTGCTTTTTTTGACAAATTAGCAGACCAGATAGTACTCCGATTTCCACTGAGAAGAAGAAGCGCTCCATCACTGTTAACTGTTAAGACCAACCCCTGTGAATCTGTAATAGGGTTGTTTCTATTTGCAACCCACGCAACGACATCTGGGGTAGCTTTGTACCATATTCCTATATACCTGTTCTTGGACCTTCCTGGGGAGAAGAAGCCAAGCTCGAATCTTCGGTTGGAGGACACAAGAATCTCAGCATCAGTAAGGAATTGGCCTGGAATAATAGTATCTGCTGCAATTGAAAATTCCACAAGGTTGAGGAACAGATCAAAACAAAAAGGAAGGTGAAGAAAGCCAGGCAATCCATTGCCTTCTCTGATCTACCTACTGTTAGACCAGAGAGTCATGTATTGCCAAAATAAGCTATATAATAAGGAGACGGTCACCAGAAGCTTCTAACTGATTTATACCGCGATTAGAATTGGGTTAATTGTACTAAAGACCCCAAAGTCTGGGGTTGTCTCGTTTTGATCCCTAATATTTTAATTATATTATTTTAGTCCTTAAAATATTAATGTTATTTTTATGCGGTGCTTTAACCAGACAACAACCAAGTTACAAACATTTTTGTTTATCATAAATTTTTCACGTGATACTTAATATGAATAAAAAATAATTTGGTTATCTCTTCACTCGTCTAAAATCCCACTTATCTGCTCCCGTAAATTATAGAATTAATCATAAATCATTCAAAATCGATTTAAGATACTGCATTATATTATCATTTTTTTTGACAAAGGTCTACTAATTCTGTCATTTTAAATGTTATTTTTTTTTTTTTTGCAATTAGTGTTTCTGCATAAATATATATATTATTGGTCGGAGAATTAATTATTTTTTTATCCCCCATGAACTATGTAATGTGTGTCAATTAAGTCTCAGAATTATATTTTGTATCAATTTAGCCTTTAAATTATGCAATTTGACTCAAAATAATCATCGTACAAGAATTTTCGTCAAAATTAACAATAAATTTTGACGGACGGGCAAAATAAGTAATTAACTCTTGGCCAGACCTACTCAGTGTTATACCTCAACATAACTGTCCAGAATTTATTTTTCACGAGATGACAAAATAGATTATCAATCCCAACTGTCGTTGTCATTACTAATTGATGGGCCAGGGACTCAGACAGCTTTCGACCGAAGACCGAGATAGGTAAGCGGAATTTGCGTCGAAGACTTCAGCATCCATTCTTTCGTGGTTGGCGCATTAAGTTTTGTAATGGATCTTCCAAAGACAAAAAAGGATAAAGTCGTGGAGACTTGAGAAAATATTTTGTTGGATATGGAATTAATGAGTGGCAATGAATCTGTGTCGTATAGGTTAGGTTAGGTTCGGATCGTGCTTGTATTATATTGGGTGGGTGTGTGTCAAAATTTATTTGTTCGCAAGTCGGACGTTTTAAAAGTTATACTCATCCAAATTCGACTTATGTAACAAGTTAATTGTGATTAGTCTCGAATAAGATCGATACAAAATCTTTAAACTATATTGACTCATAACTTTGATCCAAGTGAACTTTAATTTTGTCAATTTTGCATCATGGTGGTATTATTTTTCAAAGCTCGTGGAGGGAATTGCACTATTTTCAACCATTCCTTATGGCCCATATTATGACCTACGATTAGATTGAGGACATAAACACAAATATTTTCAAACTATCACTGTACAGCATCAAAGCAAATCAATCGCTGGAATTCCAACAATCATATACAAAAGATTATATATTAATTAACTAAACTGTTCTAAATCATATGCAGAGACTCTGATAGGAGGTTTACACCGATTACTTCTTCAAGCTCAATGACTGATCATCATGACTGAAGTTGAGTTAGGGCATGTCTCTAAAGAGAAAAAAATTACTAGCCCTAAAAGGTGGTGTAAGAAGAGATTGAATCTGAGACATCTGAGTTACCAAAGGCCAAGTACAACTACTAAACAACTCCTAGGGGTTAGGTTCCAACTTACATGTAAGCAAGTTAGTCAAAATTTCACACTCTAGCACCTGATATTAGAATTACCGATCAAATATTTTGTTTGTATAAAGGTACAACTTTGCCGAATCAACCTGAGTACTATTTAAAATATTTTGACTAAGATTTCGAATATCAAGATAGGATTTTGACACAAAAACTTTTACACAATGTAACATGAAATCATCATCGAAGACCTCTTCCTTTGCGTATTGGTTGATGCGTGATCGCTTTTTTATTGCGTCCGATAATACTACTTCAAGGGACAACTGTGGAACTGGGGACAATTCGGATCCCTCCATTGTTTCCTTTTATTTCCACACATTTTCCTCGAAATGACAAAATATATGGTACACTGGAATTGTATTATTGAAGTGCTTGGACAACACTCGAATTGGAGTCACCGGTTTCCGGAACCCGACTCCATCTGAAAGCCCAAGTATTATAACCCTAGAATCAAATCAAATTTTAACCTGACTTCAAAGACTAGGCAGATGAAAATGGCCGATTGTTTATGTGCCTTTGGCCACCAAATGAATCAGTTGAAGAGAAACAGACAAAAGATCATGGTGGACAAACAGATGATGTTAAAGGAAGGCATAATATGACACAACAATGTAGAGGACTTAATACGACACAACAATGCAGAGGATTTAGCCTATCGAGCTTCCAGTATAGTTATAGTTTCTATATCATCTGTTCCAACTTCTTTACTTCTTGATGCTGCATCCATGTCAATGGGATTTCTTTCAGAGAAAAAACCAGGTTGTTTAGGTTTCGCCAACATTGATCCCTCGTTACCCATCATCAAAATTATAGATGACATTGCTGGTCTGTCTTGTGGAAGTTGTTGAACGCACAGTAGACCCACATGGATACACCTCTGCAATTGATATTCGATAAACGAGTTCCTCAAGCATGAATCCATTAGTTCCAAAGCCCTGTCTTGATTCCAGAGCAACCATGCCTAAACACAATTGCATTAGTGCAGTGAATACAGTTTGCTGTCTTGGGAGGGAGTGGTTGAATTTAGCTGTAGTACTTACATGGCCCAGAAGGTTGTGGTGGTGATCGGGATGATGAAAGCCTCTGTTCCTTTTGCCACTTACTATCTCTAACATAAGCACGCCTAGGCTGAAGATATCGGACTTTGTAGAGAATTTTCCATCAATTGCATACTCTGGAGACATATAGCCACTGTTTTGAACTTATTAACCATAAGCTCTTCTACATTATAAGCATGATATTTCAGTTTAAGTGACTAAAACTTACTATGTACCAATGACTCTTTTCGTTTTTGCAAAAATTTGATCCCCTCCGAAAATCCTAGCTAAGCCAAAATCGGAAATTTTGGGAATGAGATCCCTGTCTAGTAGTATATTGCTTGCTTTGAGATCCCTGTGAATAATTCTCAATCTAGAATCTTGGTGTAGATAGAGAAGTCCTCGTGCAATCCCCATAACTATGTCAAAACGTTTTGGCCAAGACAACGATGCACTTCTACTTCTATCTGCACAAATCAACCATTTTTAAGTATCAAGATCAGAGCTTTTCACATTAAAATCAACTGCATGGCTTTGTTCAGATGTTTAATCAGCAAGCATGTAGCTAAGCATTATTTTGGCTATGGGACTAATCAAAGAGAGAGAGGATTCTGAGGCTCAAACCAAATATGAAGTAATCCAAGCTTTTGTTGTGCAAGTACTCATAGATTAACATCCTTTCTTCTCCTTGAATGCAACATCCCAGAATCCTGACTAGATTTATATGTTGGAGTTTGGCTATCGAAACAACTTCATTTTTAAATTCTGCAAGACCTTGCCCTGAATCGTTTGATAATCTTTTTACTGCTATTTCTTGTTCGGGTTGTAATTGGCCCTGTATGTGTCACATATAAGGTACAAAATCTTAATTGACAACATTTTGCTTACTGATGGACTGAAAATGTCCAGATAAAGAAAAAAAGGAACATATCCAATGTTACCTTGTAAACTGGACCGAAGCCACCTCGCCCGATCAGATTTTCCTGAGAGAAGTTATTTGTTGCAGCAGCAATAGTTGCCAAACGAAATAGAGGTAATTCTACTTCTTCATTCTTCCTTTTCTGAGCTGATAATTGGATTAAGAATTTGAAAAAGGCCTCCATACATGATTTAATATTGTAACACTTGGGCACGATATTATAACTTATTTTCAAAGATCGTAAACAAATCAGCATTCTTACCTCTTCTCTTTGTTATTAATTTCACGACTATGCACCCGCACACCACAGACAAGATAAGTACTCCTGAAATGGCCAATACCACTAGGATCTTCACAAGTCTTTTATTCTTCTCCTTTGAACGACTGATGTGTTCTACAAATAGTGAATGTTGACAAATATTGTTATTTGCTTCAAAATGGCATGCTTCTCTATTATTTGTTCGCTCGTGATAACTTAGGATTTCAATTCGAACAATCAAAGATGTAAGACTGTAAATTAAGCTAAGGCGAGCCCAAGGGAAGGCACATACCTAATTCTGAAGCTGGCAAGCGCAAATAGATATCTTGCTCACTCCCTTCTGCAACAAACTCCCTGATGTCCACCAGATTTCCAAACCACATCAAACAGCCAGTGCCGCCTCCTGTGATATATGCATTAGCATAAGCAGAACAAGAACAGTTTTTCAAACACTCTGCCTTGCATTCAATGAGGCTCATACTAGTGTTTAGCTGGAACTCCAACAAGTCAGGCAACTTGACTGATGGAACCTGCACAAATCCTTCTCCACTATGGCAATCTAATGGTACCTTTCTTACACATCCACTGGACCATACAAGCACTTCCCATTCTACTTGAGATTTGGGTGTGAATCCCTTCAGACATTCGCACGTTGGAGTTTTGTTTAATTTGCAGATACCATTAGGACCACATTGCCCATAATTGTCGCATGGTTCGCCTGGTGTTGTGTAAACTAGAGTCCAGCTAGTGCCCTTTTCGTCCATTACAAAGAGGTCAAGCAAGCCTGATTGCTCCATCTTTAATCTCGTAGCAATTGAGTCGTTGTAAGTCTCAGAGATAGAAGTCAATCTACTCCCACTGAACTCCAATTTATAGTTAAAAGTAGGACTCGAAAGCATAGGGTGACCACTGAAACGAATTCCATTCCATGGTCCACTACGATACTTTTTCACTGACCCCATCATAGTAACCATTTGAGGCAACCCACGGTTATCGATTTTGTAGTTGAAGTCTCCAGGGGATGGATCCTCTGCACTTCTCCATGATGACAAATATTGGTCTATTCCAGTGTCGAAATTGTCCCGCAACTTCATTCCTGGTAACCGTGTGTCAGTTGGGAAATCAAAGCTCTGCCACATATAGCTTTCAGA